TGCCCTGGGTGTTATGGTGTATTGTAACACTTTGCTGCATTACTGTACCGGTTCATACCTTATTTACCAAAGTAGCTTCATGTGTTATAAATTCATGGGGTTGAGAGCAAGCGTATGGGATCAGCTTTTGTCATCACCACAGTCAGAGCGAGGAAGGGGTGTCTGTCCAGGTCACAGCATCCCGTCTGTGATATGCAATCAGGATGGCAAAACTCGCTGGAAAAGCAACAGTGCTCATTGCAGTTTCCTGAGGACTGTGAAGCTATTCAGTGTATTTTGTTTAATGCTCTCCATTAAGCTTAAGTTAATTCAGGTGTGTTTTGCTGAAGTGCAGTTTCCAGAAGCCAGAGCTGGCCGAGTGCTTACAAAGCTGGAACGTCCTCGTGGTCTGCATCGGCTCTGTGATCTCTCAAGAGCAATGAGAATATTTTAATTTTGACTAATTGCCTGCTGCCTATGTGATCACGGAGTATAAAATATTACGGTGGTATTGGCAAATGCTATTATTAGAAGTTTTGTTGCTTTCTGTTCCGCCTGATGATCCTCCACTGGAGGAGTAGCGGGGAGGCGGTTGCAGTCTGGCTTGTGCACGCTTCCTACATAGCATCTCCTCCTGCCACCGTTGGTCTGGCACGTGGGGTTGCCCTTAGGTTTGTGCTGAGTTGGGGGCTGAAACAAGTTAACGTAAGGTTTTGTGAATGAAGGGGAGTGCCTAGCTGAGGGCAAAATGTTTGTCAAGTGCTAGAACAGACAGAGCATCAGTAAAATCACGAACGTCGGTGTTGACTTGTGTCCTGTGTTTCGGCTGTGGTGGTCTTCTGCTAGCCATTGTAGCTGGGAAAGGCATGTCCCACCTGAGTTTGTCACTAGCTAGTTGGATGCTTGCTCTGCCAGCCATTGGTACCGTGCTTTCCAAAGCGTGTCCATCCTCTTGGCCAGCAACAGAAATGTAAGAAAACTCACTTTGTAAAAGGAGAAGAAAAAGCTCTGAAAGTGCAATCAAAAGGAGATAATGTCTACACCCTGACTAGAGCGGAGTCAGGAGTAAACTGTTTGTACACCTGACTGATGCTGTCTAGCACATGTGGGCGGCTTTTCTTGCTGCGTGTGTGATTATGATTTAAGGCTGATCAGTGAACGAGACAGAAATTTCTCTTGAACAGAAGCACTTCATTACGGGTTTATTTTGTGAAATTAATGAAATTCTGCGCTTTGCTTAATGTACAAAGCAGAAAATCTGCTACTGGCTTTGCTTTTGCAGTTTCTCGGTCATGTTTACATAATTAGTAAATGTTGTGAGCAGGCTCAGTGATTTAGCAGAATTGAAAGGTTACTGTTCCTGGCAATTTTAAACAAAAGCAGTAATACCTGCTATGCTGTTCATGCTCGAATAGAGAGAGATTCCTCATCTTCCTTTTAGGAAAATCTGACTTTTTTTCCTTCCCTGTTGTTAATGTTAGGACTGACGTTGTAATTGTATGATGATAAGTCTTTTAAAATGGCTGATTTTGCAGTTCTGTGCAGTTAATGTGTCGGAGTCCTGGGACCAGACTGAATCCTGTAAAGCATAGCAAACAGATGAAATGTATTGTTTTGGATAATGTACTGCCCTCCTGGCTTTTTTTCCAAGTGAATTCGATTGAATGAATTAAATTAACTTTTTCACACTTAATGATAGCTAAAGAAAAAAACTACTTCATAATTAGTTTTAGCATATTACACGCAAAGTATAAAATGCTGATGGTATTTAACTCACTGGCTTTTTGACATTAGTAACCTATCAACATACCTCTGAATATTTTTACAAATTTTGAAATTTTCTAGCAATTAGTTTAGAGTGGAATTCATCCAGTTTGTTTTGAGCACTCGTGTGGCCATGCCTCATACACAGGCTTCACAGTGAATGCCCTCCTACTCCCGTACATAGAGATGCAGCTGCTTGTGTTTTGTTGTTCGGGAAATGGGCGTACTGGTTTGTGTGCTGCACCGAGTATCAGAGCAGATGAGAACAGTTCTTGGGTACAAGGACGAAACCTCCCAGCAAACCTTAAGTGACTATTTTAGATGGAAGGGACTTTGGGAGTTTTTTTGCCACGTTGGGCACCTCCAGGTTCCTCTACTGAAAGTGTGTTCTGTAGACAATCATCATTTAGTAGCAACAAATGCATGTCCAGACATCTATTCTTCTCTGTAAGAGCAGGCTCTGAATCCTTTCTCTAGTGTACACTTAACACACACCCCAAAAAAAAAAGGTACCCTGGATTGCTCTAGGAATGTGGGAGAGTAAGGTGGAATATTATTTCCTCTAATGGATTAACCTGGTGTGCTTTTTCTAACCTGTATCATCTGTTGGGGCTCATCTTTTTTAATGGTACACGGTTACGCTGAAGTATAGTATCAAAAGAGAATGTGGAATCCGGTGTAGGGGGAATAAAAAGTTGGAGTTACCAGTTAAGTAAACCCTTCTTCAAATGTGAGAGAATCAGCAGAGTATGTTTAATTATTATTTAGCTGTTCATCTACAGGAACACCGACAGTAGTGGTAGGTACTGCTGCATCACGTATTTGGGTCTCTGGCTTGCCCAGCACTGAGTAAAATATTCACTGGTGTGTTATGCGAGTTGTACTTTGTACTGCATTTTACAAGGAAAATGTTACGACAAAGTCAATTTACGAAGTCAATTTAAATGTCTGTCTGCCAGGGACTGGCATATATAAACACAAATGAATTGGTTCACTTGTCAAATGAATGGAAACTGAGGATATTACATTTTGTAAGTGATTGAAATCCTGTCTTCTCAGTCTCATGTTCACTACTTCCAAGGGTGGCTGTTTCATTTTGCAGAGAAAAATCAGGGGATTTAGAGGAAAAAGAAAAACTAGATATGAAGGAAAAATTAGTGCCAATAAAAGCGAAAATTTTATGCAGGGGTAGTACTTAAGAAAAAGGACTAAGAGTGAAGCCAGTTCTTTTTCTGCAAAAGGAGTGATCGTTGGGGGGAACAAAGTGTAGCTGGGGCGAGAGTGGGAGAGAGGAGAAATCTGTTGCAATGGGGGAGAAATTAAAAAAGGGTCTTTGTGTTCATTCCTTTGAAATTGGCATCTATACCCAGTTGTTTACAAACACGACTGTGGATCATAAAAACAGGAGCAGGGAGCTATTTGCTGACTGGTAGACAGCAGAGTGGAGTTAGCAAAATGCTGGTGAGGTGGTGTGCTTTCCGGGTCTGCCCCGCATTTAACTCTGATTTAACTCCAGTCTCCGGTTTAACTCCAGTTTGGCTCCAGCTGCGAGTCAATTGCCATCCCATGGGTAAAATGTTCTTGCAGTTATTTAAAACTCATCTTTATGCAAACTTTGTATTACCTGAGAAGTCAGGAGGGAGCCTCAGGCTTGTGTTAGGGGATGCGGCACCCGTGGCACGGACCTGCAGCGGGGCTGTGTGCGCTTGGCAGCCCTTGTCCAGCTGCAGGCAGCTGCCTGCGGGGTGACCATGTTCACTACCCCATCTCTCACCTTTGAGGAATTCCTGAGGTATGGGGTCTTCCTGATAATACGATTCGTGTTAATACCTTCTGGACTTAATTAGCTGCTGAGTCACTGCAAATCTGTGTCTTTGTTGATGAATTATTTCTAAGTTGCTTGGTTTTCAAATCGCTTTCCTCCAAAATGAGGTCGTCTTACAAGTGTGTAGTGTAAATCGCAATTAAAGGACCTAGCCTCAGTACATGGGTGAAATAACAACGGGGAAAAGCTGACCCTTTGTTTCGGTTCACAAAAATTGGAATTGATCAATGTTGGAAATAATGGTAAGAGCTTAGTTGTAACTCCAACACGTGGCAGTAACTTTAGCAGGAGAGTTTGCCAGACACTGCTGATGAGGGGGAGCTTAAAAATACAGATCTTCCCGCTTTCTCCAGCGGGTTCTTGACTGCAATATACATAAAGCAGGAGTGATGCAGAAAGATGCAGTGTGTTTTCTGGAAAAACGTATAGGCAAATTAGATCATTGCACTACACTTCAGCTTTGAATATGGTCATTTTCTATCCTTGTTAGCTTCTTTGCCTTATGAAGACACAGTTTTGTGGGGTGGGTTTTTTTCCTGGCTTCAAGCATGAAGCTGTTTTGGTCCAGATGAAAGACTCCCAAAACTTAATGCCTTGCCATGCAGGGGGAGAGGGAGGCAGGGGAGGGACGCTGACATGAAAAGGGATGTAATGGACTTGGTGGGTATCTTTCTCCTAAAGTTTTCTGATGTAAATATTACGCTTCTGCATAAATTTAGTATAGATAATTGACTGCATCTTGCTTGGAAATGAGTACCAAAGGTTTTTTTATAGCTTCTGTGTAATTGAAATTCCAGGAGGAGAGGCCTTTGTCTTGGTAACCACATTTGAATTACTTTTTTATTGTAGCGTTAAACCGATATGTTATAATGTGAGGAGTTCAGTGTGCGTGTGTCGATAATTACTGTATTTCCACAGTTACAATGAATAAAGCAAACTCTTGAAAAAGAGCATGTAATACTTACCCTGAAAACAGGTGATCTAAAAGTTGTAGTGACAGCCGTTTGTGTTCTTACCTAAACAGCGGTCTCCTGACGAAGGTAACCTGTCAGTGCTGTAGCAGGACTGCATGCTTTGTGCATCGCAGCTCAAGCGCTTGAGCTGTGCTGGTTTTTATCCTGAGCTCTGAAACACATTTTGTATAGTAAGAAACCAATGCACCAATATGGAAATGGAAAGACTTGCAGAAGCCAATCTACAGGGAGGTTAAAAAAAAAAAAAAAGCTGCTAGAAGCAGGAGTGGATCTCCGTAGCCAGGGTGGTCGTGGCCGCAGGAGGGTCTGCTGCAGCAGGCACCTCACGCTTCAGCGTGCCCAGGTGGGAGCAGGACGGCCGGAGGGCACTGCCGTGTGCTGTGTGTGAATTGCGAGAGCTTTGATGTGATTCCATGGAAGGTATTAGTTTTACTCACTGAAGCTCCTTTGTTTTGCAGAGATCTTGATGCAGACGCCCTTTTGGATTTCTTTTTAATAATGTGTGACCCTTCACCTTTGATCCTTTGACCTGCATTACTTTGGTAACCATTTCATTTTTTTAATTTCATTTCATTTTTAATTTTGGTGTGCAAGCTGTAACATTTCATCATTTTAAACTGTAGCGTTCTTTGACTTCCCCAAATGTCTTTTTTTTTTTTTTCCCCCCC